CTGGCAGTGTGATGAACCATTTCGCCGTTCTGGCTGATTTATATCCTTCGGTGTAACGTGCCCTTCTTTCGGCTACCTCCTCTCTTCTTCCCTCTGTTACCCTTGTATCCTTCTAGTTTTCTCAATTGTGTCCCTCTCCTTTTTTTGTCCCTGAAGAGCAGAGCAGAGCAGTTTGCCCTTTCGAATGTGGCATCATGCGCGCTCTGGGGAGCATGATCCATGTGTGGCATCCGCTGCTGTTGTATGGACGGGGGGAGGGTGGCGCACACATGCGCGCTCGGGGGGAGGGGGTGATCCGTGTGTGCGGCATCTTTTGCTGCAGTGCACCCGCAGGTGTTTGCGCCACACACATGCGGGCTCGGCTGGAGGGTGATCCATGTGCGGCATCTATTGCTGCAGTGCACCCATGTGTGGCATCCGCTTGTACGTTGGTGGCGCACACGTGCGCGCTTGCGGGGAGGGTGAGATCCATGTGTGCGGCATCTATTGCCGCAGTGCACGTAACGCTATTGTTGTGTGTGGCGCAAGCACTTGCGACACCCGCAGGTGTTTGCGCCACACACAACAACAGCGTACGTGTTGTATTCGGTTTAGGGTTTAGCGAGAGAGCGCAAGTATGTCATCCATGACTACGACCCTGGTCGTCTTCTCCCCTGAACGTAACCGCATATGTGTGTTGTATTCGTTTTTTTCGAACACAAAGCGATGATTCGAACAGAACAGAACGCATGTGCGTCGTATTCGAGTAGAAAGCAACGTATTGCTTTCAAGTTCTATTCGGTTAGAACGCGTATGCGTTATTTATTTATTTATTTATTTATTTATTTATTTTTCTAACTGGTAGTTGTGGCATGCGCTATTGGTAGTTGTGACATTCACGGTTATCTTCGCATATATGTACCTCAGAGTGATCAGTTTGAGCAGGTGGCAGTCTTGGCGCGTTGTTGGGGGTTAGGTAGCCCCTAGTGTTTGTTTGTTGTGTTTAGCTGACTGATTGCATCAGGATTCGAACTCGTGCTCTGTTTTACTAACACATAGGGCCTCGCTGCTGCACTACTCTCGAAATGTGCAAAACGAGAGTGAATCTTCAGCTAGAACATGGAAAGATACACGGCCATGATTTTTGTCTTTTGTGCACTTCAAGAGTAGTGCAGCGAGGCCCATAAACAGCTATATGAATGTGTGTACCATTCAGTCGCACGGTCAGGAACGTGTATTTCCTCGACATCATGGGACAGAGACAGCCATTGGGGGAAAAGACAGAAACGATTGATCCTTCCAGCTCCTCGTCTTGAAAAGGAATGGGTAAGGCCACATATACTCGCACAAGCACTTTTTAGACTGAACTCTGGACGTAATTACGGTGAGATGCATCTGATCTGGTCCGGCTGTAATTGCAGTCAGATGCATCCAGGACAGTCCTAGTGTGAGTATGCCGAAGTTTTTTTTTTTTTTTTTTTTCCTCCAGATATTAAACTGATCAGAAGAGATGCTACACTTGATCTTAGCCAAAAGGCCGAGAGAAAAAAAAAGATGAGAGATGCAGAGAAGCTCGGAAGAGGACGATGATTATGAAACCAAAGAGTGAGGAGAGGAGAGGGGGAACGTAGCATAACAAACTTCCAAGTGGAAACGGCAAGGGTAAGTTGGAAGCAGAAACGCAGCGCAACAATACCCTCTCACGCAAAATAAGATGAACAGTAAAAAAAAAAAAAAAAAAAAAAAAAA